TTGGATTCAGTTTGGGTGATAGACTTTATAGAAATGTATTGCGTGCCTGCAGGATCCTCCAGTGTGATATACTGGAGGTGGAATAAATAACGGAATCAGTACATGGAAAAGGACTGTTACTTTGAAGGAATTACTTCTGATTTACAAACACAGATATGTACATATGTGTGTCAGCCATAAAAGACGATACAAACTGCTGATCTTATCGAACACCTTCTACGGTATCCACAGTTACCACATCTGAAGGTGCAGGCTTTTCTTCCTGAACAATGGCGCCTGTAAAGAATCCAGCCATGTATTGTCCTGTGTTGCCATCTCCTGGTTTTGTGTTGTTTTTCCTTGTTAGTCAAATTTAGTTTCCCTGTCAGCTTTCAGTAATCATGTACACCTGTGTTTCCCCACACCTGTGTTTCCCCTCGTTAACACTTGTATGTATGTTGGTCCTTTTTTTCCCCAAATCTTTGTTGGGTCATTGTGTGAATGTCAAAGTGTTGATGTTAGGCCTTTGTTTTTCATGTCAGTGGTTCTTGTCAGAGTTTTTGTATTTTCAAGTTTTGGTTTTCCAACTCCGTATCCTGTATTTTGAGTTTGTTTTTTCCTAGTTCTGTTTGATGGTATTTTGAGTTTGAGAGATACATTATTGTAACTTTCTATTCCCCACCACAGAGTACAGGCGCAAATTGACAATTATGTACACACCCATTGCTCTTTAAAATACTTGTAGCACTATAGCCATAATAGCGCCAGACTAGACAGTGCACACAAAATAACCACAAAACAACTGCTAAGTCAGAGATAACCGTGAAGCCAATTATCTAAATTTAGTTGATACCCTAAAAAGCAGGAACTAAATACAAAACATGTTGATGAACCATATTTGTAAACGATAAATCCGATATGTACGAAAATACACTACAATTAAAATAGACACTAACCAAATAATCATTGTATCACTTCACAACAACTTTAAGCAACGAATACAAAGTCTGAAGCAACCAACGTTCACTATCCAAACACGTTTCATTTGCAGTATATCAGCCTTCAGTATTGATTAAGATCTGTCCAGGCAGTAAAGTGTCTTTATGAGCTGATTAACATTTCTTGTTTAATTCTAGGTGCTGATACAGAGTTCTCCACCACAGAGTGTGTGAGGGTGGTGCTGATTGGGAAAACTGGAAATGGGAAAAGTGCCTCCGCAAACACAATCCTGGGTACAAAACATTCTAAAACGAGCCCTGATTCTGTGACAACAGTTTGCAATAAGGCAGTTGGCAAGATTAATGGAAGAACAGTTGCAGTGGTGGACACACCTGGACTTTATGACACAACAATGTCTAATGAAAATGTTCAGCCGGAGATAGGGAAGTGTGTTTCCATGTCAGCCCCTGGACCCCATGTGTTTATCATAGTGTTGACCGTTGGGAGAATGACACCAGAAGAAATTAACACTTTAGACCTCATAGAGAAAACCTTTGGTCAACAAGCACGACAGTTCAGCTTAGTTCTGTTTACCAGAGGAGATGACTTGGGAGAGATGTCAATTCAAGAATACATTGAGACAAGCAGAAATGCCAAACTAAAAAAACTGATTAGAGATTGTGGAGACAGATTTCATGTCTTCAACAACAAAGAGGAGAATGACCACACACAGGTCACTGAGCTTTTGAAGAAGATTGACAAAATGGTGTCCATAAACAAAGGCAGTTTCTACACCAATGACATGTTCCAGGAAGCAGAGGCAGCAATTAAACAGAAACAGGAAGAAATACTGAAGCAGAAAGAGTTGGAGATAAAAGCTGACTTGGAGAAACTGAAGGTCCAGCATGAAAGAGAAATGGAAAAGATTAAGTCAAAGTTGGAAGAGGAGAAATCAAACGTTTATGAGGAAAGTGAGCTGAGAGAAAAAAATTTAAAACACAAGGTGGATGCAATCAGAAAAGATTATGAAGAAAAGCAAAATAAACTGAGCGAAAAATGGAGGGAGCAAGAGGAAAAAAATAAGGAAGAAAAAATGTTTCAATTGAATAGAATGAACAAAGAAAAAGAGATGATGGAAAGAGAGATAACAGCTGAGAAACAAAAGTTAGAACAACAACATAGACAGGATAAACAAAACAGAATAAGGCTAAAGCAACAGAGACTGCAAGAAGAAGAATTACTGAAAGTACAAGAGAGGCAGCTTGCAGACCTTCAAAAGAGACAGGAAGAAGAAATGGAAAAGAGAGAGAAAGAAGAGCAGGAGTGGAGAAAGAATGAAGAAAAACAAAGACAAGAGTGGCAAAGAAAAAGAAAAGAAGCTGAGAAAGGTCAAACAGAAATCCAGGAAGTCATGCTGAGAGAAAAAGAAGAATGGGAAAAACTGTTAAAGGAAGAGAGAGACAGACACCAGGAAGAAGAAAGATTAAGAAGACAGAAGGAGGCTATTAAACAACGAGAGGAAAAGCTGAGGAGTCTGAGAGAGGAGTTTGAAAAAGAGAAGGAAAGAGACAGAATAAAGAACCATGAATTAGCAAAGCAGAGGAGAGAGATGGAGAAGAAAGAAAGAGATAGAATAGAAAAAGAGTTCGAAGAAAATATTAGAGAGTGGACAGAGAAAAAGACCATGATGGAGGAAAAGTGGGAGAGAGAACAAAGGGAGGAATTGGAAATAAGACATAGAGAAGATATAAATCAAAGAAAAGAGATAGAGCGAAAAATGTATGAAGTAACGGATCAACGCAGACAAGAATGTCAGGAAACCAGCGTGAGGAAGGAGATGGAAGATGAAGTTAAGAGAGAACAAGAGAAGATATTAAAGAAAAAAGAGGCAGATTATGAAAGAAATGCTATAGAAATTTTGATAAAATATAAAGAAGATGCCAGAAAACAGGCAGAGGAAATAAATGTCTTCAGAGAGAAATATGAATGTATGAAAAACAAAATGTTGGAAGATCATGAAGAAGTGATGAATTCACTGACGCTAAAACATAAAAAGGAATATGATGAATTAAATAAACTTTACGGTGGTGATAAATATCTACTGATTAATAAAATCAAGGAATTGCAAAAAAGGAAGAGGAGGAGAGAAAAAAAGTGAAGTCTTCTGGTGGTGAAAAATGTGTTTTACTGTAAAAATGTATTAACTGAATATACTTGTGCTTTGTAGACAGCAGAAAACATGAACTTAAGATTGATGTGGAGTGTGATACATTATTTAGATATTAAGCAGACCATGTATGACATTATAACATTCATTTTGTGAGCTGTTTTTTATTTAGTTTGATTCTCTTTCTGTACTCTTGTTCTGTCTCCCTTTCCTTGTAAATATGACACATACATTTAATTATGTAGCTGGTTCATTGTTTTATGTTTTGTAAATGTGCACACAAAATTTCCTAAAAAACACAATTACTGATTGGAAAGCTCAACATATGCATTCATGAATCCTGGCTGGAATTACAATGTTTTATAGTATGTTTTATATATATTTGAAAAACATTTTATGTTAATCACGTTTCAGTAGTAAGGTATGAGGACAGAGAACGCTTGTCATTTTATGTAAATCACATGTTTCAGTAGTAAGGCATGAGGACAGAGAACGCTTGTCATTATATGTAAATCACATGTTTCAGTAGTTATGTGGACAGAGAACGCTTGTCATTATATGTAAATCACATGTTTCAGTAGTTATGTGGACAGTGACCGCTTGTCATTATATGTAAATCACATGTTTCAGTTGTAAGGAATGTGGACAGAGATTGCTTGTCAATATATGTAAATCACATGTTTCAGTTGTAAGGAATGTGGACAGAGAACGCTGGTCATTATATGTAAATCACATGTTTCAGTAGTAATGTATGAGGACAGAGAACGCTTGTCATTATATGTAAATCACATGTTTCAGTATTAAGGTAGGTAGACAGAGAACGCTTGTCATTATATGTAAATCACATGTTTCAGTAGTAAGGTATGTGGACAGAGAACGCTTGTCATTATATGTAAATCACATGTTTCAGTAGTAATGTATGAGGACAGAGAACGCTTGTCATTTTATGTAAATCACATGTTTCAGTAGTAAGGCATGAGGACAGAGAACGCTTGTCATTATATGTAAATCACATGTTTCAGTAGTAATGTATGAGGACAGAGAACGCTTGTCATTATATGTAAATCACATGTTTCAGTAGTAAGGAATGAGGACAGAGATTGCTTGTCAATATATGTAAATCACATGTTTCAGTAGTAATGTATGAGGACAGAGAACGCTTGTCATTATATGTAAATCACATGTTTCAGTAGTAAGGTATGAGGACAGAGAACGCTTGTCATTATATGTAAATCACATGTTTCAGTATTAAGGTAGGTGGACAGAGAACGCTTGTCATTTTATGTAAATCACATGTTTCATTAGTAAGCTATGATGCATATATTTTTTAATTGCGTTTTAAATATCTTGCTTTCCTTAACAAAACTTAAAATGCTTAAAATACTTTAAATGCTAATAATTGTGTTCATTTTTGGTGAAACAAAAGTAACTCCATATAATTCTAATTGAAATGGAAACACCAGTAACATTTGAACATTTAGGAGAGTATTTATAATGTGATAAACATGCTTGCTTGTAAACATACAGTACTACTCAGCCATTAAATACATTTTCTCTTAAAATATCTACTCATTCATTACAACGGAAAACAAAAACAACAGCAACATCTGTTTGTTAAGTTGTATGGTAATATTTCACAGAGACAATGTTTTTCTCTGGACAATGTTAACAAAGAGATAAAATAATGTGCGTTTCTCATTTCTCATAACATATGATTGATCTTAGCATTGTATTATTCATGTCTTCATCAGGAATGTATTCTATGGTGTTTCGATGTGTTCATCAGCTTTCAGAGCAGGAGTTCTGACTTGATTATCAATGTCATTATTATTATCATTATTATTATCAGTAGTATTATTAGTATCAGTTAGTATTATTATCATATTATCATTCTTAATTGTGAGTATTAGGAGCAGTTGGTATCTCAGTGGTAGAGTGCATGCTTTGTGTGTTTGACGTCCTTGGGTTCAAATTCCAGCTGCACACAAGGTTGCTGTTGCAAATGAGAAATTGTTCCCTACTGGCCTACAATTTAACCTTTTTTTAAAAAAAGGTTAAATAAATAAAAAATATATATATATAAATATATTATCGGTATTACAATCAGTATCATTATGAGTATTTTCATCAATATTATTATCATTATCAGTATTATAATCTTGAAAATGCTTCTTTTCTTTTAAACTGACTTTTCAGCAAACAAATACGTTTTAATGGGGTTTAATGCATTACCAGAACCCACTGAGATTTTTTTCAATCTCTGTAGGTTCTTATTGTGTTCTGTAGTTATTAATTGAGGCTTCTCTCAAAACATTTAATTTATTTGAAACATAAAAAGTTACATTTTGAGGTTAAGTTGAAAAATTTCTCAAAATACAAGATTGGACAATATACAAACACAGAGAACATATTTTTATATAGACACAAATTAAGATGAAATCGTCCTCAGGTACACTACCTAACTATTCTACAACCATACATCAAGACAGAGGATATGTTCAAAACAAACATTATATTTCAAATGTTATTCTATGGGACCAGCAAACCAATGGGAACTCAAGTTGGGTTCTCCACATATCTCACATATTTGAAAATCTTTACACCTTCAGACACTGTAACTGAGTGTAACAAATTGACTATTACGGGAGTAAATCTTCATGCAGAAAAGAGACACTAGAGGTCCCACTTTAGCTGTACTGAATCACATCGCACTTGGGGTTGGACTGTGCATATATATATATATACACACACACCACACACACATTAACATGGCTTAACTTTCTTCCATTTCCAGCGATCTAGATGTTGAGACTAGTTGATATTTGTGACTGACTGTGTTTTCTATTCTTTACTTCTTCTTGTACTTCCCACTGATCATGTAACTCCTGAGGAAGTCTTCAATTCGTGGGACGGCCTCCTGCCCTGCCGACTTGTCTTTAGGCTCCGGTGCCGCCGAAGCTGGGACATCCTCAGCGCGGCGTATCCGGCAGTTGTAGTCGTACTCCGGGTCACAGTGGGGATCAGGCAGGACCACACCACTCCTGGGCCGGTCGATCTCTGCACCCGGGGGCTTGGGGGCGGACCTGCCGGTGCAAATGAAATCATAAGGGTGGCACGGGGGCGCGGCGTTGGCGTGGGGTTCATCGTTGGCTTCCACTGGGATGCAGCCCTCATCATAATGCACGTAGCAGGCGTGGCCCTCCTTGGTCTTCCCCGGGACACCCAGACGGGAGCGGGTCTGGAACTGGGGGCTCAGGTGGTGGGCCGCCGCTGCATAGAGCAGACACAAGGGGTCGTAGCGCTGGTCACAGGCCAGGGGAGCAGGAGCCAGCGCCGCCAGGTTCTTGGGTTTGTACTCCAGGAGGGGCTTTGTGAGGCTCGCCAGCTTGGTGGCGGTCAGGGGGTTGCAGCCCTGGTCGAAAAGGGGGTTGCAGTGCTGCTCCCTAGGGACCTCTGCTGCGGCCTCCTGCGGGGCGGGAGGTGCTGCTACACTAGCCACACACAGGGGGTCAGTGGCCGGGTCACAGGTGGGGTACAGGTGGAAGTAACCGGAGGGGGCCTTCCTCACCAGCTGGGGGCGGCAGTACGGGTCTGTAGTGGGGTCGCAGCTCAGGGCGGAGTATGAGGGGGCGGGGCCGGGGGCGGGCCTGTAGCCGTAGGCGGCACGCAGGTGGTACTGCAGACACTCGGTGTCGTCGGGGTTGCAGATGCGCAGCAGCTCCGCCTGCTGGTCGGCGCTGAGGAAAGGCTCCAGGACCGGGGCGTAGTAGTAGAAGCCTGCTGGGGACTTCATGGGCTGGGGCAGGAACGGGGTGAGGACGGGGGCCCGGGCGGGGGCCGGGGGGGGCTCCGGGGCAGCCGCCTTGGGGATCATGGGGAACAGGCAGTAGGGGTCGAGGTAGGGATTGCACATTGTGACGGGGGCGTTCATGAGGGGCGCGGGCATCGCCACCTTGGCCTTGGGTTTGCTGGTGGACTCGGCGATGCACTCTGGGTTGTCTGAGTTGGCACAGTTCTTGTAAACGGCGCTGAGGTGGTTGAGGTAGTGGTTGAAGGTGGGGGACTCTTCGGAGCGGTGCTTGTTCTGGAGGTAGCCCATGTACATCCTGTCTAGATCTTCGATCTATGAGAAAGACAGAGGAAACACAGTACAAACCAGTACAGATCAATACTGACCAGTACAAACCAGTACAGACCAGTACAGACCATTACAAACCAGTAGAGACCAGTACAGACCAGTTCAAACCAGTACAGACCTGTACAGACCAGTTCAAACCAGTACAGACCTTTACAGACCAGTTCAAACCTGTACAGACCAGTACAGACCAGTTCAAGCCAGTACAGACCAGTACCGAACAACACCAACTGTACCGCCACTCTGACACTCAGACAGTTTGACATGGAATGTTTGTCACTTACTCCTTCCTGGTTGCCAGAATCCATGAAGTGTTTGTACCAGCCCCAGAAGTCAGGTACCTGCCCAAAGACGGGGATGGAATAGGAGAGACTCCTCTTGCTGCGGACATCACTGGATACAGCAGAGGCTGGAACAGCAGAGAAAGCAAATGCATATGAAAAGGATAAGTATTTATTGAAGAATATAAAAGAATGCAGACATCTCAACCTGACAAACACTAATCTGGTTTCACCGGCTAATGCACACACACACGCATGCACCCATGCACAACATTTTATTATGGCATAACACAACTATTTATGTGTCAGACTTTATTTTTTTCTGCTTAAAACAACATTAGTTATGTTACTGGCCATTTAACCCATTATGGGCAATTGAGAAATCACTTCTGCAGACGGTGCAGCGAGCTACAATGTTGTTGTTGTTCACCCCGGTTACAGATAGGTACATTTTTGTGTAGTCTTGGGTGAATAGCGTTATGTACAACTTTTTGTATTTGGACACCCTGCCATGGCGCTAAAAACACTGAAAGTCATGGATGAACTGGAGAAAGGTCGACTGTGAAGCCCGCATACCATTGAACTCTCGCTCGCACAAAGATAAAGGATTTCTGGGATATTGTATGTAATTTGCAGCTGTCAGGGAGACGCTATTTAAATGCGAGAGACTCCCGGAACTATCTGGAGAGTTTGGATGTCTGAGAATGTGTCATTGTCTTTCTGTTAGTACTGAAAGGATGTGTCATTATGTTTGTTTAGGTGCTGTAAGGATTGTCACATTTATATAAGTTGTATCATCTTTTAGTATAACACTGTCCAGTATACATGCTCGTATGGTTCCCCTGGTTGTCTACTCTAAACTCACCCGTCTCCTGATCCAGCGGCACGCCCCCAGAAACTCTGGAAAACAACAGTAGAGACATGAGTTGACAGGAACCACATGTTGTGTTGCCAAATGAAGGGAAACCCTGGTCCTGCTAACAGGTCCCTTGGAGCTCACAGCAGGGGCCCGCCGTTAACATATGGTTAACCAGAACACACACCCAGATGGATCCAGGCAAACATATGGTTAACCAGAACACACACCCAGATGGATCCAGGCAAACATATGGTTAACCAGAACACACACCCAGATGGATCCAGGCAAACATATGGTTAACCAGAACACACACCCAGATGGATCCAGGCAAACATATGGTTAACCAGAACACACACCCAGATGGATCCAGGCAAACATATGGTTAACCAGAACACACACCCAGATGGATCCAGGCAAACATATGGTTAACCAGAACACACACCCAGATGGATCCAGGCAAACATATGGTTAACCAGAACACACACCCAGATGGATCCAGGCAAACATATGGTTAACCAGAACACACACCCAGATGGATCCAGGCAAACATATGGTTAACCAGAACACACACCCAGATGGATCCAGGCAAACATATGGTTAACCAGAACACACGCCCAGATGGATGAAGGCAGACATATGGTTAACCAGAACACACACCCAGATGGATGAAGGTAAACATATGGTTAACCAGAACACACACCGAGATGGATGAAGGCAGACATATGGTTAACCAGAACACACACCCAGATGGATGAAGGTAAACATATGGTTAACCAGAGCACACACCCAGGTGGATGAAGGCAAACATATGGTTAACCAGAACACACACCCAGGTGGATGAAGGCAAACATATGGTTAACCAGAACACACACCCAGGTGGATGAAGGCAAACATATGGTTAACCAGAACACACACCCAGATGGATGAAGGCAAACATATGGTTAACCAGAACACACACCCAGGTGGATGAAGGCAAACATATGGTTAACCAGAACACACACCCAGATGGATGAAGGCAAACATATGGTTAACCAGAACACACACCCAGATGGATGAAGGCTAACACACATGTTCCTTTGAACAGGTTTGGGTTGTGTGCTACTGTGTGGGGCCAGACTGTAAATCAGTGGGATCAGTACAACCTGCGAGCACCCCCCCCAAAAAGACCCCCACCCCATCTTATTAAACCTCCATTAAAACAAGGATGTGAAGATGTGGAGGGGTTCTTATAAAAGGAAAATGTCTAGTCAGCTCATTCTGTTGGTTGTGAATCCATGGTGCCCCATGTTCATTAATGAGTCTGGAGAGAGAACAGCTCCCAGGGGTCAGAGATGAATACAGTGTTTCACTGTGAGCTCCTATAAAACTGAGATTAGGTCCCTGCTCAGGTCATGTGACATTTGTTACTGACTCTGTTACTGTATTGGAGGTATTTTACTTTGTCCTCAGACAGTTGCTTACAATATAATTGATACAATAAAAATATTTATGTATGGAAATCAGTGATTGTGTACTTACATGTTTTTGTTTAAATTATGCATCTTCAGTCAGTATACATTGTTGTGGAGAAAAGATTGATACAAGTACATAGAGTTTGCCTGACTCAATCAGTCCTTCTGTCATGACTTTCAGAAAGAATAACTCACCTGGCAGTAACACCAGTATGATTCCAGTGTAGATTACATAAATAATATCTCACCTGGCAGTAAC